CCTTTTCTCGTCGAGGCGCAGGTCACTCCAGTAACCTTCCGCTTGCGTTTACCAGCTACCTGGAGAATTCACAATGCCTTCCATGTTCAACTTCTCAAGCCCTATCGGGACCCAAACACGGTCTTCAAAGGTCGCCAGCCACCGCTGCCACTGCCAGTGATCGTTAATGGGGAACCCGAGTACGAAGTCGAAGCCGTTCTGGCGCACCGACGACGACGTAGCGGCACCTTGGAGCTCTTGATTCGTTGGAAAGGCTATGATCCTTCCGAGGATACCTGGGTACCTGAACACGATATGGATAACGCCCGCCGTCCTCTCCAGAACTACCTTGTAAAGCAGGGTGTTACTTCTACCACCCAGCTTTGAGGGGGGGAGGTGTGAGAGGACGTCCCCGTTATAATATTTTCTCACTATTATATCTTTCTGTTATCCTATTCTCCCTTTTCTCCTCTTTATTTTGGTCTTTATCTCATCTCAATCGGCCTACTATTCTATTTTCTAGAGCCTTCTATTTATTTCTCTTATTTCCTACTTTTCCCACCGACATACCTATTATACGGCACCGACAGCGCCGACAGTGGTGTATACGGTGTAATCTGGGCGTAATCCCAAGTGCCAATAGACTTGCGTGCTTATGCGCACTTGTGATTGTAGTATCGGGAAGGGTGTGTTCCTGAAGGTTCATTTTATCTCGTTTATCCTTGTACTTTCTGAATATAAATAGGCCTTGTATTCAGTTTTAGTGACAAGTTTCAATTGAGAATTCGATCCTGTGACAACTACCGTCTCTTCCCCTACTGCACTGCGCCCATCCCCCCGCCGCCGCTCTTCCTTGCGCCAGGTGCTACCCAGGTAGACCCCCTCCCTCCTCAGGATCCTGCCCCTTCAGGTGTGTCCCAGGTAGACGCAGTAGAGCCTGTCGAGGTAGCTCTTGACTCTGGTGCTACTAGAGGTGCTGAGCCTGCGGGTGCCGGGTCTGCGGGTACTGGATCTAGGGGTGCTGAGACTGGGGGTGCTGAGACTGGGGGTGCTGAGCCTGGGGGTGCTGAGCGTGGGGGTGCTAAGTCTGCTCGTGTGGCCGCCGGTGGTGCTTCGTCGAGGCGGGAGCCGCTCTCTCCACAAGAGCTGCGCGAGTGGTTTGCCCGCTGCTGGAGACGTGCTGCAAAGTCTGGGGGTGCTACTGGAGCTACTGGAGTTGGTCCTACTAGAGCTGCTGCTGCTGCAGGTTCGTCTGGGGGTGCTGCTGAGGCAGCTAGTGCTCACGTTTCTACTGGAGTTGGAGCTGCTGGGGGTGTTGGCGCTGGCTGTGCTGCTGGCGCTGGTGCTTTGGAGGGTCCTGGATTTGGCGGTGTTGGAGCTGGAGCATCTGCTGGCGCTGGTGCTGCCACTGGGGGTCCTGGTGCCATCCTTGCTGGTTCTGGAGGCGCTGAGCGGCCGAGGCCGTACTTCGTTCCCCTCCTGGAGCAGGTTCTTGGTCTCCCTCCCTCCACTGGTCCTGCTCCTCCTTTAGAGTGTCCGCAGCCTATCCAATCACAGTCCTAGTTACAGCCCGCCTCCCCGCTACCTGCTCCTTCTCCCTACACTAGTCCTACTGGAGTTCTTGCTGAGGGTCGTGAGCCTGTGTCTCGTCCTGCGTCGCCTGTTCGTGCTGCTCGCACTAGTGGTCGTATTGCGCGTCCACGTCCTCCTGCAGTCCCCGGCACACACCAGATGGCGCTGCGTCCATCCACTGCTCCTCTGCGTGTTCCTTTGCCATCTCCTCAAGAGTCCTCTCTTCCTTTGCTTGCTGACCCGGAGTCCGACTCCCTTCGTACTGCTAGTCCTTCGGTCACGCGCCTTCTTGCTACTGTTGTCACTGACCCTACCTTTGAGTCCACTGCTGCATCTGCTCTAGTTGCTGAGCTTGTCGACTTCGCTGCTCGATGCCGTCTAGACTACGCTGCCAGTCTTGTTGCTGCGTCTGAGTCTGTCTGTCCTCCGTCCGTCAAGGGTGAGTGTTCTCTTAGCACGGACGTCCTTGAGGACAGGCAGGAGGAGCTCCAGTGCTTTGCGGCTGCTTTACCCCATCTTGTGTCCTCACTTATTGCCCCTGAGGGAGACCCGGATACACCAGACATCCCGACTCCTCGATCGTACGCTGAGGCGATCGAGAGTCCCTACTCCTCTCAGTGGCAGTCAGCCATGGACGCAGAGATGGCTTCCTGGAAGTCCACAGGCACCTACGTCGACGAGGTTCCCCCACCTGGGGCGAACATAGTCACTGGGATGTGGATCTTCAGGGTGAAGCGGTCGCCTGGCTCTCCGCTTGTCTTCAAGGGGCGTTACGTGGCTCGAGGCTTCAGTCAGCGGCAGGGAGTTGACTACTTTGATACCTTCTCTCCCACCCTAAAGATGACCACTCTTCGGTTTCTGCTGCACATAGCCGCTCAGCGTGACTACGAGCTTCACTCTCTTGACTTTAGCCCTGCTTTCCTGCAAGGCAGCCTACATGAGGAGATCTGGCTGCGCCGCCCTCCTGGCTTCACTGGGTCGTTTCCCCCTAGTACCTAGTGGAGCCTCCGGCGGCCAGTTTACGGTCTCCGTCAGGCGCCCCGTCAGTGGCACGACACAATGAGGACTACACTTGCGGCTCTTGGGTTTGCTCCTTCTACAGCCGACCCGTCGCTGTTTCTACGTACCGACACCTCTTTGGCGCTGTTCTACATCCTCGTGTACGTCGACGACTTGGTCTTTGCCACTGCTGACACTGGTGGACTCGCTCACGTGAAGTACGAGCTGCAGAAGAGACACACGTGCACAGACTTATGTGAACTGTGCAGCTACCTTGGCTTGCAGAGCACAGTGCACCATTACCCTGACTCAGTCACACATGGTGCTGTAGGTCCTTCAGCGCTTCGGCTTCATGTACTCCTTGCCTCAGGCCACTCGTCTGTCTACTCGCCACTCGCTCTCAGCTCTGCCTTTGGATGAGTCCGTAGAGTCGAGTGGCCCGTACCCAGAGCTTGTTGGCTGCCTCATGTACCTGATGATCTGCACACGACCTGACCTTGCATACCCTCTTAGCATTCTTGCACGCTATGTTGCTTCTAGGAGACACCGATCAGAGCACATGACTGCGGTGTTGCGCTACGTGTGCAGTACGTCGGGCATGGGGCTAGTGCTTGGAGGGCGACATTGAGTAGTTCTCACAGGTCACGCTGACGCTTCTTGGGCTGACGACCAGGCTACGCAGCGGTCGTCACAAGGTTACACCTTGAGCCTTGGCTCCGGTTCTGTTTCGTGGCGGTCTACCCGCTCGTCCTCTATTCTCGGCTCCAGTTGTGAGGCTGAGATCTACGCAGGGGCCATTGCTGCACAGGAGCTACACTTGCTCATCTACCTTCTGACTGACCTAGGAGAGCAGCCTCGTTCTCCTCCACTGCTGTACGTAGACAACAAGGCCATGCTGGCCTTGTGTAGGGAGCACAGACTAGAGCACAGAATGGAGCACATTGCTCTCCGCTACTTCGTGTCTCGTGAGCTGCAGCAGCGCGGTCAGCTCCGCCTCACCTACGTGGCCTCTGAGGCCAACACTGCTGATATCTTCACCAAGGCCCTTCCGCCTTGTGATCATCAGCGTTTCTGTGCTTTGCTAGGTCTTGTGCCTACCAGGCCTCACTTTCTCACTTCTTGATCTTGTTTGTACTATATTCTTCCTATACCTGCGCTTGCTTGTTTTACCTTTATACATATGCTTTTGCATGTGAACTGGCCTTGTGGCCCTACTCTTGTGCTCGGACTGGGTGGTGACTTTGTGATCCACCCTGAGCTTGCTTTGCTTTGCTTTGTTTGACTGGTCTTGTGACCACTTGTTCTCCCCCACTTTGCCTTTGGGGGTGTATTAGAACATTATAGCTTATACATTTGTGTAGGCTTTCGTGGGGTAGTCCATAAGGGGTACAACCTAATTAGGGTTAGTACTTGTACCCAACTCTTTCATAGTTTATTCATCCATTCTCACTTCTTGTCAGTTTCGGCCATGGCGACGCTCCGCGCGCATGCGAGTTGTGCGTCCCCTCACTGACTTGGGCCAATGGAGGCGAAGTCGACGCTCTGCCATGGCGGAGATGGACCACCTGTGCCACTTGTGCATGCGCCCACCGAGCCCTGCCGAGCCAAGCCCCACACCCTTGGGCGATGCCGAACGGGCCTGGGTTGGGGCACCACCTCATTTTCAACGTCCCGTGGCTTCGCTCCTTATTTTCCGCATCTCGTTTTGATCTTCACACCTTGATAGCTCTGCGCCTCCCCCTAAATCCATGCTATCGTACCTTAGCCATCCTCGTCTTGCCGTAGTTGATATGGAGCCGAGCCCCTACGCAGATAAGTCGGCGCCAACTTCGGCTGACTTTCCCCTTCGACACCGAATGGGTCGCGGTCTGAGTTTCACCTTCGAGTGGGACGACTTCGCCGTCCTTCACAGCCATAAGAAAGACTTCACCGAGAGATGCTTGGGATTTGGCATCAGGTGGGACTTGAGTAGTCGCGGTTGGCGAATAGGGCAGATGTCGGCGCCGACTAACACTAGATGGGCACATAGGGTATATGTCATTTTTTGTCGGGGGACGGATTGTCGCAGATTGTCATCAGACTTACGTCAGTGTACGAGGCATTAGGCATGGACCCCGTCCAGGGACGTCGGCCGCCATAGCAAGCGCTGACCTGGCAGCTTTAGCGTTTGCTTACCCGCCATGTTATCACCCCTCATGCCCACTTGTGCGCTCAAGTACGCTTGGTATCGCATTGGGCTGAACGACCAGCGGTTGTGGGTATTCGGAGTCGGCCCGCTTCGATCGGCCATGAAGGCCGCCGACCATTCTTGCTTTTCTACAGTTTTCGACGCCGACATCGCCGCTATCCCGTTAAGAACGATGTGAGTTGTTTCCCCATTGTCCAGTTATCGTTGTGTTTAGTCGGTCGCATCATCGCCTAATGTTGTGGTCGACGCCGTCGTGTATTGCATGTGCAGCGGCGGTCCACTTCCAGGGTCATACTACAGCGTCATAGCCATCCTCTACCCAGGAGATCTGCTGAAGGGTGATGGACAGGACTATAGGACCTCGATCCGGCACATCGACCCGCATACCGGAGAACTGAAGCACCGCGACAAGGCCATCCGCGTGCTGAAGTAAGTTGTGAATAGTCGTCGATGTCCCGCTTGTTAGTCGACGACACAGGGTATCACATGTTGACCGCCTCCTTTCACCACGATGCTCCAGGCTATTCCGCACGGCTGTCCTGGCCAAGCCTGGGCGTCCCGGTAGGAAGTGGGACGGGGCGCCACCATCACAAGCAGAGGTGGAGGACAGGCTTGCCGACTGCGACCACCCTATCCGCGACGTGAGTTGCACGTTTAGGGTGCACGTTTCTGTATGCTCCGCTCATAATGTTCCGCGATTGTTGGTGTTGTATGCAGAATGTGCCAGACACAGTATCAGACGAGAAGGTCGGCACCGGCACACTTGCCGCGACGTCGTTCGGGTGGGTAGCCAAGTAGATCGACCTCCTCACGGGCGAGAAGGGTCGTAGTGGGGTGAGCATCGAGAACATCAAGACAAAGGGGCTGCGGACGTTGCAAGAGAGCATGGTGGAGTACATCTGCAAGCGTATCGCCGAAAACCGCTCTGCGGTGCTGACTTCACAAGTATTCAAACCCGCCAACAGTGTGATTGATGACAATGGCGCGGAAAGACAGACGTCGCCCCAAGCAGCAGTTGCCGCCCAGCATCAGGGGAACACGAGGGTGTCCGCGGAAGGAGTACACGGTAGAGGAGGAGGCAACGCTACGGCAGGTGCAAGAAGGAAGGAAGAGGAGTCGGATTCTGATTCGGAGTCGGAGTCTGAGGAGGAGGTGGAGGAGGAGGAGGACGAGGCGGTGACACGGAAGGACGAGAAGGACGACGAGGAGGAGAAGGAGAAGGACGAGAAGGATGATGGGGATGAGGAGGAGGAAGGGAAGGATGGGGAGGGGGAAGGGAAGGATGAAGAGGGGGTGGAGGACGAGGTGGAGTACGGGGTGGAGTACGTAGAGGTGGGAGCTGCGGTAGAGGCGGTGGGGTCGGCGGACAAAAAGAACGAGGAAGCGGAGGATGGCAATGCGTGTAATGCTACGAGGTCGGCAGATGGGGGGAAGGAGAAGGATGAGGTCGGCGTGGAGGCATCGACGGAAAAGGGCCAGGAGGAGGCAGCATGCGAAGGTGGGAAGGTGTCGGTCGACGCCGGCAAAGGGGCGAAAATCACGGGCGTGCAGGAGATCGGGGAAGCATCTAGTCGGCAGGGCCCTGAACTGGACGACGTTGAGGAGCTGCGATGGGAGAACTGGTTGTTGAGGGCGGAGAGCACTCAGTTGGTGACGTTGCTCAATGCGGAGCAGGCTCGGCTGGACAGATTTTTTGTTGGGTTTAGTGGACTTGTTGACCACGTGAAAGGGTTGGACGAGCAGGTCGACGATACCGAGAAGTATGCGGCGGAATAGGTGCGAAACGCGACGGCGGCCATGTTGGAGACCATCACGGGCAACATCACCGGCAGCTTCGACGAAGCGTAGAAGGCGATGAAGACCTTCGCGGAACAGGTGTCGGTGTGGTTGGAGGACTTCGACAACCCGGAGGGTCGTGTGGCATATGCACGCGCCAGAGCGATCGATGGCCGATCACGTGACTGGGGAGGTGGGCGAAGCGAAGTGGGGTTTGGATCTGTACATCACGACGCAACTATCCGCCGCGTAGGTCAACATCGCCACCGCTGTGACCTCCAGGCTCGCCGTGCAGCCGCCGCCACTGCCTCATCCCACGCCGCCCGCCCTCCCGGAAGAGCTGTTGAAGTCGTTCAAGACCGACATCATGAAGGCGGTGACGGAGGCCACCCAACAGTCTTTCGTTGCTTCCGGGATAAAGATGATGACCGAGATGATCGGCACTCTGGCGCCTGGTCGACGTGGGTCGTCGCCGTCGGCCAATGACGCCAATCACGCACAACGGAGGACGGCCGACAAGCAGGGCCTGAAGAGGACGGGCAACGGAGACGACAAGGAAAGCGCGAAGCGGAGCAAGGGATCGGACCGGAGCAAGGGATCAGATGGGAGCCGCGGCTCGAAGCCTGCGGCACAGAGCGTGGTCGACCAGCTGAAGACGAAGGCGGGGTGGAAGGTGATAAGGACGTCGAACAGCAAGGGAGGCCGAAGCGACCAGCAAGGACGAAGGCAGATGGTGGCCCTGCCGACGGGGTTGCCGCTAACGTCGCCGCTCCGCCTGGCCCGCCTTTGGTCGCCGAGCAGACCCATCCTCAGGCGAGCGGTGGGAAAGGCATGACCGACAAGGAGGTCCCAACTGCTCAGGTGGCGAAAGATGGCGGCGCTGGAACCACCAAGGGACCGTCCGTCGTGGTGGCGGCCAAGGGCAACGCGAAGGCTGCTTTTGCCTCGGTCGCCGGCACCACCAAGTCGAATCCCCGTAACCACCTTGCGACTACCAGCGCGCCTGCCGGCAAGTCAGGTGCGAACAAAGATGGGGAGACCCATGCGGCCCCTCCTGCTCCGGCAGCCCTGTCTACCGCCCAAGGCGACGCGAAGGCTGCTTTGGCAAAGGGCGATGCTCCGGCATCAGCCAAGGGCCCCCCCCGGTGGTAACGCGCTCAGGGCGATGCTCTATCGCTTGAAGGCACATAGCATGGAGGTGCAGCAGCATCCCGTGGTCGACGCCGGCCTTGCCGGAACAGCACGTCGCTCAGTCACTCCACAGGTTGCCGCCACATCGTCCGGTGCCCCACCTGCCGCGCCTCCGGTCGCCGCCCCACCCCCTGCGGACCCCAAATCCGCGTTTCTTTGCGCCCATTTAGGCGCACACAAAGCGGTGACTAGGCAGGAACCCAGCAACAACACGACGCCGACGTCGGTAAACGCGACCGCACCCTCACCAGGTGCAGTTGTTGTCGATGCGGCCGCGTAGCAGGGAGTGAGTGTAGTGCTAGCCACCGGCGGCCGCGCCGACAAGCATGCCGAACTCGCTGCCGTCCTGGCCCATTTTGAAGAGGCAAAACGCCCCGAGCATGCCCCTGCTCTGGCTATCATGGACTCGGCGCATGTGGTGCCATCGGCGACCCACGAAGAGGGTTCGGCGGAGCCGACTGTTGCAACGAGTGCTGTCGCCGAGAGAACTGCTGGACGGAAGGGGAAGGACGACACCGAGAAAGGGAAGGCAGTCTCTCAGAGGAGCACGAGGGCGATGTCTGCGGGGAAGGAGTTGTCGGAAGAGAAAGGGAATCAGGACAAGACGGGCGGCAAGGGTAAGCCGGCAAAGAAGAAGGAGAAGGCGGAGGAGAAGGACGAGGAGGGCAGCGAGGGAGATAAAGAGCATGGACGCAGGGGTCATGGCATCCGCCAAGACAGGTCCGGCGACGGGCATGGGTGGGTGGGCGAGATTAAGGTAAACGGACAGAATCGATACATCGGCAAGTCGAGGGAGAAGATGGAGCTAGCCTACGAGCACGCAATTGCATACGTTGTCTACGACGGCTACGTGAGCAAGATGCTCATGAAGGAGCTCACCGTCTTGAAGCCGGGGGAGTTGGATAAATGGAAGGAGGTGTGGGCGCAGGTCAAGTTCTTGCCGACTGGGATGTGAATGGTAATGTGGGCCAGAGGCTTGTGCCATCCGAGAGCAAGGTAAGACGGATACCGACGTGCCGAGTTCTGTCGACCAAGTCGGTGTCATTACGCTGATGTTGACGAAGTCGTGTCGCTTTAATATGGTTGTGCGGCAGGTTCGACGATATACTTGGCAGGTACCGCGGGTACGCGAGTTCGGGTGATGCGCTTCATGACGTGCTCTGGCCGGCGATATGGTTCCCCATCATAAAAAACACGGAGGAAGGCAAGGAAGAGACGGACGCTCTCATGTCGGCGATGGTAAATCGCATGTCGATGTGTGCGGCGTATGGGAAGGTCGCGGCGAGCACGGCGTATGGGAAGGTCGATGCGAGCGTGGAGGGGAAGGTGGGAGAGAAGACGGAGATGGAAGGCGCGGAGGGGAAGGCGGACGAGAAAACAGAGATGGGGGCCTAGGCGTTAGCGGCATCGACATGCGCCCTCTGGTGCTTTGTGGAGACGCGGGCATCGGTGCTCGGTGCTGTGGGCGAAGGGAAGGCGGCGGCGATGGTGGCAGGTGCGGGGGAGGAAGGGGCCAAGGACTTCAAGAAGGTGATGCTCGCAGTGATCGACTTAGCACGCAGTAGGCAGGCTCCCGTGGGGGAGGTTGCACATAACGTCGCGCCAGTGTTGCAGAGCCAGGAGGGCCTTCAAGGAGGGAGTTGAGGAAGTCGAGGCCGACATGATTGCTAGAGCGATTGTCAAGACCTTGGCGTTCTGGGGAATGTGCCCCGTCGCCGGGCCCAAGCTCAAGATCAGGGCATCGATGTGCCGTGTGACGCGAAGATGGAGTACGATATGGAGCACAGGGGGAGGAAAGGGGAGAAGGTCAAGCAGGCCAAAGGCAGCAAGAGGAAAAGGGGGCAGACGGGCAAGCAGGGCAAGGATAGTACGGATGCGTAGTCGGTGGGTTGTGGTGCTAAGGTATGGCCGGCGCCGATGTCGTTGTACTTCTAATGACTTTTCTATCGTAGGCACGAGTCTTTTTTGTTTCTGTTTGCTTCACTTTGTGATGATAAAAATCACTGTCCACATAGAAACATGTTAGCCGCCTTCTAACGAGGAGCCCTATCAGCGCATATCTCGACATCAAAGAAACATGCTACTTGGCGAGGAGCGAACAAAAAAAGGTCGACACATGATACTCGGCGACGAGCATTGTCGGCGTCTATGTCGACAGCATAGCAAGATGCTACTCAGCGATGAAGGATGAGTCCTGCGAGACTTCGACATCGCCCCGAGGATAGTATTTTTGGTTCTTACTGAGCGACCGACAACAATTAACACAGCGGGATCAAGTAGGTTCGCAAGGACCTTGCAGTGGGTTGTTACAAACTACCAGAACAGCATTTGAAAAAAGAAGGGGAGGGGGTGGGGGGGGGGGGGGGGGGGGGGGGGGGGGGGATGTCTGCCACAATTAACAACATCAAACAACGCACACGCATATCCTACAAGCGCGCTTATGCCGACTTCTTGCGCTTGGTCGGAGGACGGTGCACCAGTGCGGTTGGCTTCGCCAGATCGGCCTTGGTCTTCGGCATCTGCTCCACCCAGGTGTCTGGAAACAGGGTTTTTACCCAAACCGCCGGCTTCAGGTTGAGCGCCACAAGCTCACAGGCGAGGCGTAGCTTTGAGACCACCTTGGGGCCCAGCCCCTTGACTCCCATGCCAGGCTCCTTGGACAACATCGGTGCCGTTCCCGGTTTGAGCACCGTGAGGGCATCGGCAAAGGTCCCGATGCCCGGTGCCGCGATCCTGTGCAGTGCATCGACCACGGCCTCGGTGTCAGCGTCACTGTCGCTCGCGCGTAGCTGGCGCACCGCATCCATGACCCTCAACATGTGGCGCACCCTCATGTTGAGTGCACCCTGCGTCGCGCTTAACAGGAGGGTGTGGCGGTCGACGAAGCCCGGCTCGCCGAACCTGTCGCAAAGCCGACGGGTGTCATTGGCAGTGGCGGAGTTCCAGAGGCGCCAGGCGTCCCTCACGGTCTTGGCCTCCTGCCACAGTTGTACCACGTTGAGCTCGTAACTAGCCTCCTCATCTGTCTATGGGGGTGGCGGGGGTTTCTCGTCCCCTCTGTCGGCTCCCGCTCCCATGTTGGCCGAATCCGCCGAGCCACCCTCACTTGGAGCTTGCGCGGTAGCCGATGGCGGGGCCTCCGGCACTCTCCGTGCTTCTCACACACGGAGTGCCTCGGTGAGATGGGTTATCTCGGCAGTGAGAGACGCGATGCTGTCATCGCGCTTCTTGAGCTCCTCCAGGAAGTCAATCTTGTAGTACACTATGTCAAAGCGGACAGAGATTTCCTGCAGCGGTACGACAAAGGAACAAGATTGACATAGTGTACTACAAGATTGACTTAGCTGCGAGGTGGTTTGGAGTACCCTTCATCCAGGTCGTCGTCGACTTACCTCTGCCTGAATTTGGGTCGGGTCCCGACGCTCGTTGATCGTCTTGGTGTCGACCCTCTCGACCCGTCTCGCCCAGTGCTAGAAGAGGGGGATCCGGCAGAGCATGGAGCCTTGGACGTACGGGTGCCATGGTGTGCGGACCAGCTTCACCGCTAGGTCCTCGGCGACGATGCGGCGCAGCATCTGGAGTGTGCGCCAGAAGTGCACCGCGGCTTTGTCGGCGTCGGACCCATTGGCAGCCTTCCCTTTCGCCTGCAAATCGTCACGTATATTAGGAGTTTAGACACGGTTGGCAACACGACTCGAAGACAAGGCTACGACAGCGTCGACTAACATACCATCTTCAACATGTCGTCGACGCCGGGGAAGATGTGCTCAGCAAGGAGCTTCAGGAGCTTCTCGGAGGGCTCCACCCTGCTCCGACCCAAGAAGTAGTCTTGCTTGTAACCAGAGTAACCGGCCTTCTTCATCACCACCCCCACCGGGATGGCGGTGATGTACGCTCGCATCATCTTGTCGAGCGCCCAGTGACCCAGCTCCGCGATCTCGGCGCGTGGCGTGCCGTCGATGGCCAGCTCCTAGGCCCCTCCCGCTCAAGCGGCGTGCACGTTCCTCTTGTAGAACACCCCGTTCTTGTCCCACAACTGCCGCGTCGTGGCTTGCCGCGGAGAGCTCCCCTTGGTCGGTGTCGTTTTTGGCGAAGAAGAGGTGCTTCTTGTACCAGCTCACGCGTGTGCTAGTGTCCACCGGCGGAATGAGGTGGACGCCGTGAAACTGGCCGATCTGGTCGAGGATAAAGTGCAACCACAGGCCCGTCTCGCCGACGGCGCACAACTCCGCTTCGAGTTGCCGCGCAGCGTAGCTCTGCTGCAGATGCGCATCCTTGGACGTCTTTGAGTTCCGCGCAGCGATGACCATGACGACCGGCTGGTTCTCCGAGTTCACCGACAAGGTGCTCGCCATTCGGTACAAGAATATGTCAGGGAGCGTGATCTTGCGGATGCTTTGACCGCGCAAGAGAGAGTGGTGGGAGAGTAGCGTGCGCACCTTCAAGAGCAGAAACCTCCACAACGTCTGCGAAGGGACCGTACCTCGCGGGTTCCACGCCTTGGCCGCCCACATCGGCAGCACCCTGATCATGATTTGGCGGAACTGTTTTGCGGTGTAGGTATCGCCAATGGTTCCGCGACGCCAATCGGCATAGTTCCCGCCGACAATGCCAAGGGTAAGGGGAATTTAGGGCAGCGTCAACATAGTACATGACAACATCAGAATGGTCGACAGAGGTTAAACATAAACTCACTTGATCTCCCGCTCGTTCTTGGTGCGTATCATGAACCGCACCTCCGACCTGCCCACCGATATCTCACGCATGATGCTCAGCTCCGTCTCCCAGTATAGCGTTGCCTCCACTCTTGCAGCCATCTGGCATGCCTTTATGCGCCCGAGGAGCGTGTCCACTGTTGTAGATTGCACAGGCTGTGTTCCTGTGGCGTTGTCGCCCTCCTTGCTAGACTCGGCATCGAGCTTCAACTCCCGAACCATGTACTTCACGTATGCGCGAAGCCGGGTCTTGGTGACCCTAGGGCCGTGCACCCACACGTACGCCCAGGGGACATCGGCCTCTTGGTCCCAGTTTTTCTTCTTGTTGTCCCGGATGTAGTGCCCTATCTCGTCGACGTGCTTAAGTCTGTGCTCCTACGGAAGCTTGCTGCGAATTTGCCTCAACATCTTCGCCGCCCACCTCTTGTAGTGATAGAACCACGAGGTGTACAGCCTCAGCGTGCTGTTCCTCTCCACGGTTTGCAGGTGGCGTAGGGTGTCCAAGACGAGCACGTCGATGGACGCGTAAACCAGGTCTTCCTCGACGAAGTCTGCCGCCCTCCACTGTTTGCGCAGTACCGACAAGTTCTCCTGGTCCGCGTCCTCGTCCTGTTCGAGCAGACTATCTATGTATTCAAGTTCTCGCCTGAGTCATTCTTCCAAGGTGCGCTGATTAGTGCTATATGGTGGACGCTCGTCATTTTCATCATCGCTTTCCTCCTCCTCCTCCTCCCCATCCTCCTCCTCCTCGACCTCAACCTGGTTTCCAGAGCCGGCCGGTGTCGACGAAGTTCCTGGCTGTCCAGTTCGCGTCGGATTCTGATTTTTCTTCTTGTTAAACTCCCCGATCGGTAGTGGGGGAATGTCCTTGGTGAACTCCCCTTATGGAATCTGCGTCAGCTTGTCAAGATCGTAGAGTAACGGGAGTGTCTCTTCCTCGGTAGATGTCGGACTATGGTCGGTCGATGGACTAGCATCGGACATGTCGACGTCGGCCATGTGGCAGCACGTATGTTGCTCTACCGACGTCTGTGTGCGATGCAAAGGTTGGTAAACCAGAGACGGTACTGAGTCACGGGTGCGGTGTACGACCGAAGAGTTGCGCGGCGGTCGTCTTCTAGATATCGCTCAATAATGTCTAACTCGTGTTCGACCTCGAGATTGCGGGGGTTGGTAAACCAAAGACGGTACTGAGTCACGGGTGCGGTGAACGCCCGAAGAGTTGTGCAGCGGTCTTCTTCGAATTCTCAATCAAGTGCGACTAACTCGGCTTCGACCTCGAGCCGTTCCAGCTGCGCTTTCATGTCGGCGTCTACAGAGTCGGCGGGGGGTGGAATGGGCTGCGGCTGTTGGGCTCTAGGGCGACCTCTGGCCATGCGTCGCCGACTTGCTACGTTGGCGGGGACGTTAGGAGCTTGCACCGATGTTTAGCTAAAACAGCAGACGTCGACGTCGATGACTACTGACCAAGTCGGCAACCGAGTAACCTACAGGCGCGATGACAGACTAGCAGCTGAATATTCTAAGTGCACGAGAGAGCAGGAAGAAACGCAGCAACGGACGTGGGAATGAGCAGGCCCGCAAGGTCACAGACGGGTATGGTCCTGAGCGACTCCGATGCTGCCGTGCTTCACGCACACCCCTATGCTGCTGCCACCATGCATGTGTTCTCGTAAAGGCGGCGCACTGTCCGACGTGCCACGTGCCAAGCATGGCTAATGTGACGCAGCACTGCAACGAAGGGGCGTAAGCCTGGGTCTGTCCACAGTGGAATGGGCGTGTGTTACGTGGCTTGGGACCGACATTGGCCCCTCATTTCCGAAATTACGGCATGTCGACTCCAATCTCCCAGGGTCCCGGAATTATTGAAGCCCAGCGTGGGGCGCCCTAAGATCGGCGTCGACTTCCATTCGGCGCGCTTGGTTGTTTCCTTAGGTTCATTGAACCTAGACAGTGTTGAGATTGTGCCGCGTGGCTTGGTTGTGGGCTTTTGCATGAAATGGTCGACACCGACATCGCTTGCAACTTGCGATGCCACAGAACAGTTACACCCTGGACGGTCCGATTTGCGCCGCGTGGTAGCCTAGTACACGGTTGGGATGGTCTGGCTCCTCCCTATTGGTCCGCGTGGCGGCAGACGCGGCTCGACGTGGCGTGCTGTCCTATTTTGTCCGCTGAGATATACTTCATAGGAATCTCCCAGCCAAACCCGAGGTCGTCAGAATGTCATCAATCCCGAGGGCACCCGAGGCACCTCGGTCTCCAGTTCGGCCCAGTTTCCCACTCGGAGGTTGTCAGGAGCTCGTAAATCCCGAGGGGGGCCCTTGTCCCATTTCAACCGCGAAATTGGGCGGCATTTTTCATCGGCTGAGGTATATCATCCCATAACCCTCGCCCCATTACGTGGCCCTGGTTACGGAGGCCCGCGTGGGATTACAGACTGTTTTTCCTCAACAACCTTTCGGGAGCGTTGCGTAGTGCCACGTCACCCCACGCTTTCTGTCTCGCACTTCGCCAAACAAATGGTGTCTAAGGCGAGTCTGACAAGATGTAGATAAGGGGGGGTGTAGGAAACAGCCCTAAGATGCCGTTTCACGTGATTGACGGTGACGGTGAAAATTCTGGGCGAAATTTTTGCCACATTCATCGAATCTAGACAATCTCGCTAACAGGGATGGCCCCACTACTGTATGATTCGAGTCAGGGTCCCCTAGCAAAAGTAGGCTGAAATTTCAGGCCTGGTACAAGAAAGTTAGCTAAAAAAACAGAGTAGGCATGTAAAAAAAAAACTTTCTCATCAGGGTTGGGACCTAAAAAGACCTTGAAAATCAGGGTTCAGAGGCAAAATCAGAGTAAAATTCCTGCAATCTGAGGGCCTGACTCCAAGACCGACAAAGGCACGTCACCTAGAAATTAAATTGTGTGTCTACTCCCATTCGTACCAAAACATGGTTACCACATCACAATCTTGCAGGACAGAGTGCACCAATGCCTTGCGTTGCCTAGATGTGCTTTTGTAACTATTGGAATAACGAAAAGGTTATTATAAAACATTCCCGAAGGTTCCCCACTCTCGCGTCACTCCATTACGAAGTGTACGCCTGTACTAGTACTGCAATAGCTCATATAGAGCACGCGGAAGTCCAAGGGTCACCCGAAGGTCAACGGTCGAAGACTGTCAATAGTCGTGACCCTTGACTTCCTAGTAACCGCACGAGGCAGTTACGAAGTGGAATGTTGTAACTGTCTAGAATGGCAATAGTCGTGGGTTACTGTAGCAATGCAATTCGGTTAATAAGGGAATATACCCCTCATAATACATGGCTAGCTAGGAATGCTATTTGTATCCCTGTACTTCCATCTTATAATTATCTTGTTTTCTCTCAACTTATTAACAAGGTCACTACAGAGACTTATTGTTCTCTCCTTTCACACTTGGCTACCTTATCTTGTCCACTACGATTCTTCGGTTATATCAACATGGTATGAGAGCAAGAGTGGATTATAAGGCCTACCAAGTTCTTGTTCTTGTCAAAACAATCCCATTATAAATTATTCATTACATCATTAAGGACTCTGCATCACTATGGCTCCAGAAGGAAAAGCCACTGCAGACTCTCCGAGCCCACCATCAGCAACAACACCCACTGCACCATCAGCGGTGAACTCCGTCAGCGCCGCTCTCGTTGAGCAGCTGGTCGCCCGCATCAACTCCCTTGAAAGCCATCAAGCAATGAGCGTCGTTGGCTCAAGCTATGCACGTGGAGTTGCTGGACTCCCTCTCCCTGGAGAAGACCGCCGCGTCAACTCTGAGAGGTCATTCACATTTGACAACCGTCAAGCTTCAGCTCCTGCGCAAGACAATCAACAACGCGCACATTCAGATGCAATTGCGACAATGCGGACAAAATTTGTTCTGACCTCAAAGCTGAAGACATCAGTCCCTTTTAACGGAAATGACTTCTACACCTGGAGCTTCGAGTTCGAGCTCCTTGCGACAACCGCGCAGATCTGGATGTACTACGATGGGAGCTTACCGTTTCCAACAGAAGGCACCATTCAAGAGAAGAATCAGTATTACCACGAATCTCTTCTCGTATACACCACCCTGTTCCGGAATCTCTCCCCTGAAGAACAGCTCGGCATTCGCTCCTACAAGTCAGAATGGGCACCCGCGTACGCCTCTTGGGAACACCTGTGCAACTCATACATGGCAACAGATACAGTCACTATGAGTCGCCTGCTCAGCCAGCTGACATCCGTCAAAATGCATCAAGGAGAGAAAGCGGGACCATATATCAACCGATGCCGCAATCTGCGTGGCCATATCAAGAAATGCGGCGGATCCGTTCCTGACGACATGTTCGTCTCAATGGTTTTCTCTGGTCTTGGTCCCAGCTGGTGTCAATGCCAATCCTTGCTCCGCGCTCGAGCAACTGTTTCCGAATCGGCCCTGTGCGCCATACTCCTCTCCGAAGAGAAGGAGATCGACCTGTACAACGAGAAGAACACAAAGCGGGAAAAAATAGTCTTCTACGTCGGATCATCTCAAGGGGAGCAGCGCGGAAAGAAAGGCGCCTTTTGCAAATACTGCAAGAAGTCTGGCCACACTATCGACCAGTGCTATAAGCGTCAGGCTGCTGACAAACGGCGCAACCCTCTCAGTCAGCAACCCTCGGTGCAAGCAAAAACTTCTGCCGCAACTTCCACGGTGTCGCCTCCCTCCGTTGCTAGCACTTCCCAATCTCCTGCACTCATCACAGCGAAGGATAAAGGGAAAGGGACAATCATGAGCTGCATGGCTTGCCGCAACAGAGGATACCGACACTATGATCGAGTAACATTCGCGCTCCACGATCCCGCCAATCCTGTCTCACCAAGACAAGACAACAATCCCACTGCCTCTTCCTGGACCTACTCACCGCAAAGGCACCCACCTGACTTCGAGCTGCCGCTACCAACACCAAAATCGCCTCCCAGCATATCGGCGAACCGGTACTTCGCTCTCTCGCCATATACCGGCTAAAGAAATCGTGTGGTTACGCCTAAAATCGCCAACATTGCGAAGCAAAGCCACGAGAACATCAACACTTGGTACCTGGACAGTTGCTGCGAACAGCACATGGTGGGATCGCCAACATTCATCACCAACTCCAAACGCATGCGACGACCCTGCGAGATCACAGTGGCAAACGACGGCACACTCAAAGCATACGACATCGGTGAGATCTTCCTTGAAGCTGACGACACACACTTCACGATTCACATCGGCTACGTGCTTGTTGCTCCAGATTTGCGGTACAACCTGCTTTCCTCGGATCAGCTTATGCGGTGCGGAGTGGACATTCGCAGCAACCGCAAGGACAAGACCTTCGAACTCTTCTACGGCAACACTTACATCGGCAAAGCCGTGGACAACGACGGGGTCTTCGTGCTGCAGTTCTCAGCTCAAGGCACCTCAAGAGACTCTCGCTGCACCTTGCTGTTGAAGACAACCACTGCCGAAGCTCCAACCTGGTCGCATCCCACAGAAATGGACCTCGAGCGACCCGCCTGGGACGGCCTTTTACGACTACGCACCGTTCCAACCGCCTCGACCTCTAACCCTGCGGGGACCGGACCTGCCACAATGGAAAAAGACAGCGGCACGTCAGAACCTGCAGCGCAGGAAAACAGAATAGCTGAAGCGGGTTGGACAAATTAGAGTAATCCCGAGCTCACGCTCGGGCCCTTGGGAGAAGTCCTAACTCCAGAAGAGGCAGGCGCAAGCGGATGGGGCGCCGTCTCAACAGGAGAAGTCGGCGCGACCAGATGGGGAACTCCCCCTCCTCCAACAAGAGAAGGAGAAGGCGGCTGGGGTACCGCTACAGGCGAAAGCGGCTGGGGCACCTCTACAAGTGAAGCAGAATTGGGGCAAGCAGCCCCCACATATCCGAAAGCTCCGGGACTTCCTTCCGCCGAAATAGCGGAGTTCGATCCTTACTGGGCAACACGAGGCACCAGCTGGGGTGGCCCTCCTCTTCCAAACCAGTACGCCCTTGACACACCAGAACCAATGGAAGAAGAGTCAGGGGAGCAAGAAGCAACTTACGAACTCTTCGGAGAAGCAGCGAAGCTGCCAGCACCTACTGAAATACCGGAGCCACCAGAACAAGGACCACAAGAAATTGAGGTCATTGGAGCCGAATTCAGCTACTACCGCATCCCCATGAAGGGACTTCCGGTTCGCAACTGGCCTGATTGGTATCTGCTCGTCACTAGAGACCAAGTCAGCGCCGGTGACACCGATGACATCATCGGTATTCCACACCCGCTTCTGAAACAAAAGGCAATTCGCGCATTTGCCGCCGACGCTGACAACGCCGCTGATGCAGGACCTAGAGGGGAGGCAAACGACGAAGCAGCAAGACAGAAATATTATCAGAAGACAGTGGGCTACCGTGTGGAACCAGAAAGCTGGCATCAGCAGCTCGGTCATCCTTCTCACACAACACTCAAAACTCCCTAAAGGCTGGGGTCTTCGACCACGAAGCTCTGCTCCTCCCACGAGGAGGATTTCTCACCGCAGACTCCGACGACCCATCCTGCACACTGTGCCCTACCGCGTCGCTCGCCCATAAGCCCTTCCCCGACCTACCGCCCGGTTACGAATGCTACAAGCCGCTCGACAAAGTTTACAGCAACTTCATGTGCCTGGCGCAGGAAGGACTTGACGGCGAATACTACACCCTGATCTTCATCGACGCGAGCACTCGCCACGTCTGGGCTATCAACACCGACTGCAGGTCGCTCGCCTTCGAATGCTTCATCGCGTGGATGAAGCGAGCCGAGCGACAATCGGGCCTTAAGCTGAAAACCTGGCAGACGGACGGAGCTCTAGAGTTCTTCTCAAAAAAGTTCAAGGAGTTCTTCCGGAAGAAGGGGATTGAACACCTGGTGTCCCGCTCATGAGCAGCAAGGAGTAGCGGAAAGGACAAACAAGAGCCTCGCCACCAGGATCAGGGCTCTGATGAAGCAGTCGGCCATCCCAAGACATTACTGGCCATTCGCCATGAACCATGCAGTCCGACTGCACAACTTATTGTCCTCCCGAAGCCTCGAGAACAACAATTCACCCTACAAGGCGTGGACGGGCAGAAAGGCAGACACGCGCCTACTTCGGGTCTTTAGGTTCATGGTACAGTACAGGCCACACACAGCACGGACCGGAAAGTTTGCTGACCGAGCTCGGTGGGGCATTCACCTCGGGATCGAAAAGGAATATAAGGCGTGGATCGTGCTGGACTACGCGACACACGAAGTGACGAAATCACGTGACTGCATCTTCTACACGAAGCTGACTCTGCCACTGTTCAACGAACACCGCGAAGCTGACAAGGCACCGGAACGGTTCTTCGAAGGACATCGCAGCTTTGCAACTCCACATGATGAAGCTGACCTGGTGGAAGATGAGGACGCGGCAAACATCACTCACTTTGACAGTGCACCCAACATCCCCCTTACAAGCCCATTCCAAACCCCAACCTTCATTCCGCTACACCAAACTGATCCCGACGATACAACTCGCAATGCCCATAACTTCAACAGCGCCGCCCGCCACTTACCAGATGTCGTGTTACCACAGCCCAACACCTTGCAAGACACCCTCTGCCCTGGCAACGAAAGCGACGACAACGTGGTCGAAGTAACTAGCTTTCACGACTACGACCGCCTGCACTACGAAAAGACCAATGAAACTGGTCTCCGAATCCTCGGACTCGCCGTCGTTGTTTGCCACTCCTCTCTCAAGGAACCCACCACTGTTCGTCAGGCTCTCTCCGGCCCCGACAGTAAAAAATGGAAAGCCGCCATGGCCAAGGAGGTCGCGTCGCTCAAGAACCGTGGCACCTGGAAGCTGGTTCTCCGAACATCTGCGAAGGGGAGAAATGGGTGTTCCGCATCAAGACACTGGCGGACGGCTCCATCGACAAATACAAGGCACGATGAGTGGTCCGCGGTTTCGAACAAACACATATGGTGGATTTCAATCTCACCTACGCACCAGTCAAACGGCACACTTCGGTGCGGATTCTCATTTGCATCGCCGCCGTCAAACAGCGACCGCTCCATCAAATCGACGTCGGTAGCGTATTCTTGTACGCTCCGGTCGACACCATCATCTTTGTCGAGCAGCCGCATGCCTTCGAAGAAAAAGACGGCGCCGTCTGCCTGCTCCAGAAATCACTTTACAGGATCAAGCAAGCACCTCGCCTGTGGCAGCAGTACCTCCACACAGTGCTCACAAACCTCAGCTTCCAGCAGCTGCCCCACGACCTCGGAATGTACAGGAAGGAGTCGCGCGGCAAATTCATTCTCCTCGTTGCCTACGTCAACGACCTCCTCTACACCGGCAACGACACGGCACTGCTGGACCAATTCAAGGCAGACATCAAGGAACAGCTAGAAGTCACCATCAACCACGACGTCACTCAATTCCTGGGTCTCAACATCACCCAGTCTGCCTCCTCCATTCATCTCTCCGCCGCAAAGTACGCCGAAACACTCGCGAAGAAATTCGGCATCGCACCAATCAACCTCTCCACCCGGTTTCGCACTCCTCCTAACCACAAACCCGACACCACGCCTCTCTCTCCCAAAAAACATCGGCTCTACCAGCAGCAGCTGGGATGTCTCTTGTTCGCCGCCGTCACGTGCCGACCCGATCTCTCCTACGTCGCTATCCAGCTCGCACAGTACCTGAACCGACCTGAAGGGGAGAATCTACTGGATCTACGCCGAGCACTGCAATACTTTATCTCTACTCCCGACGTCGGCCTCACCTACGAGGCTAACTTAACAGCCACCCTGCAGCTGCACGGCTACTTGGACGCTGACCACGTGGGAGGATTCATTTTTCAACTTCAACCTGCTGGGCTCATTTCATGGAATTCTCAGAAGCAAGAACTCATCGCCCTTTCGTCAGCTGAAGTAGAATTTATCGCCGCCAGCACAGCTGTTCGCGAAGGATTGTACCTGATGGAGCTCCTGCAGGAAGTGAAAGTAACGATGAACGGGCACTTCACGTTACTCTGCGACAACCAGAGCGCGATCAAGATTGCAAACAAGCCCGGCTTCGTGAATCGCACGAAACACATCGCCCTTCGCTACTTCTTGGTCAAGGACAAAATTGACAAGGGCAAGGTTAAGCTCACGTACTGCCCGACTGGTGACATGGCAGCCGACTTCCTGACAAAGAAATTGCCACGTCAACAGTTCCAGCACTTCGCCAACCTATGTGGGATCACCAAAGAAGTCCCACATGGCCCACCTTCAGGAATGAAGGGGAGTGTTGGAATAACCGAAAGGTTATTATAAAACATTCCCGAAGGTTCCCCACTCTCGCGTCGCTCCATAACGAAGTGTACGCCTGTACTAGTACCGCAATAGCTCATATAGAGCAGGCGGAAGTCCAAGGGTCACCCGAAGGTCAACGGTCGAAGACAGTCAACAGTCGTGACCCTTGACTGCCCAGTAACCGCACGAGGCAGTTACGAAGTGGAACGTGGTAACTGTCTAGAATGGCAATAGTCGTGGGTTACTGTAGCAATGCAATTCGGTTAATAAGGGAATATACCCCTCATAATACATGGCTAGCTAGGAATGCTATTTGTATCCCTGTACTTCCATCTTATAATTATCTTGTTTTCTCTCAACTTATTAACAAGGTCACTACAGAGACTTATTGTTCTCTCCTTTCACACTTGGCTACCTTATCCTGTCCACTACGATCCTTCGGTTATATCAACAGTAACTAGCTGTTAACCCTTGTTAATGAGCATGTTATGAGATTTGGTGGGGAAAAGGGTAGAAAAATCATCAGAATTTCATTCCTTGCCTGTAAAATGACAAATTCTCTAGGGGGAGGGGGATCTTATCATGTTAGCCCCCATTTAGGGGGGTATAACTACAAACGACCTATTTAGCGTAGCCCCCTCCGTATTATTGACCTGGGAGTCTGCAACTGGGGGGGGGTCTTATACTAAACTAGCTATGCAATTAAACAACAATTATTCTGACAGTGTTCATCCGGGGCCATTCGGTAAAATTGTGAATGTGTTACAAACCATTTAGTGTTGAAAGCACCTGCAGCAGCAGCCTCTCGTTGAGTGGCTTCTGCACAGCACCATCCATGCCAGCCTGTGTGGCACGGGCGGCAACAGTGCTGTCCACATCTGCTGACATGGCCACCACATGGATGTGCTGCTGCCCCTGCCAGCCCCCCGACCCGCCCTCCGTCCCCCTCTTCCCCACCTCTGCCATGCACTGCACGCCTTGACTTCCCTGCCCCCCCTGCTCCTCCTTAGCCTCCTGCCCTCCCTGCAAACCCTCCTGGGCTGTGTTGGCTTGGGCCTCGAGGGCGCGCAGGCGGGCGGTGGTGTGGAAACCGTCGAGGCCGGGCATCTGGAGGTCCATGAGCACGAGGCGGAAGGAGTGGGGCGCCTGCAGCAGGCGCAGCGCGGCGTCGCCCGACTCTGCCAGCGCCACCTGCGCCCCGTACCGCGCCAGCGTGCTGCTGCCACCCGCCGGTTGATGGCGTTGTCGTCCACCACCTGGCAGCACAGCAGGTACCGGGGTGGGGGGTGCAGGGGGGGTGTTCAAGGGGGTGCAGGGGGGGTGTTCAAGGGGGTGCAGGGGGGGTGTTCAAGGGGGTACAGGGGGGAGGTGCGCACAGGGGATAGAGGGGGAGGTGCGCACAGGAGATAGAGGGGGGGGTGCGCACAGGGGATAGAGGAGGGGTGGAGAGGGGACGAGAGCAGGGCAGATTGGAGACGGAGTCGGAGTGAGCATGCGCTTCTCACTTTGACGTCCACCACCGGGGTGGAGAGAGGGGGGATTGCCACACACACGGGTGGTTGGGGATGAAGAGCAAGTTAGGACCACCAGTCTTGCCTTCAGTCATGTGTCCAAGGAATGAGAACAGAGGCTTTGTAAGAGGTGCGACAACGTTGGTTGCATGAATGTATGGAGGAAATCGGTGTAAAGCAGCTGCCACAAACACACAAAATTCTTCCTAGTCCAAGATCGCCTTCCTGCGAAGTCTGGACATGGACAGCCCCAAAAGTGCAGATTTTTTTGTCCACCCTGGCAGCTTCCACGTCTACCCCATGTGCAAGCCGATTCTGATGTGTGTGATCGTTAGGAGTATGCGAAACCTAACGCCCAATCAGATTTGCCTGTGCAACTCAATTTACAGTCAGCGTTCGCAACCCTAAACCCTCAACAGATTCTCGCCACACGTCAAAGGGTCTCATCGTGGGGGGTCTTCGCACGTTCAGGGTCTGTGAACTCACTCGATGTCCAGATTCGTTGCCTTCCACCTCATCACAATGACTACTCACCTGCACGTGCGAAGTGCACTTTTCGCTGTCGGAACTTCGAAGTTCGGACAGCCCAGGAAGGCGATCTAAACACCCTGTCCTGCATCTCACCAGAATCGCCTTGCCCTGCATCTCACCAGAATCGCCTTGCCCTGCATCTCACCAGAATCGCCTTGCCCTGCAGCAACTCCTTCAGACTCTCACTCGCACTCTTCGTCTCCACTGCCCTTGGTACAGCTGCTTCGTCGCCAGAAGAGGAGGAAGCAGCACAGGTAGCCTGCGGCCCAGAGGTGTTGGTGCTGGCTAAACCCGGGTTACCACCCACAGGTGCAGCAGCAGTGGCAGCAGCAACGGCCATGGGCAGAGTGACATGCAGGGTGGTGCCGTGACTTTCTGTGCTGAGCAGCCCAATGCTGCCTCCCATGAGCGCCACCTGCCATGGGGAGGAGGTGCAAACATGGAGGCGCAACAGAATTCGAGTGTAACAAATGTGACTGTGGCAGCCCTGTCACATAGCGGGAATTTAAATATCACTCCAGGAGTTACATTTGAAGAGCGTGCATCCAAGGACAACGGGAAAATCTTGAAGGTCCAAAAAAAGTACCTGGTTAAGGTGTGAAAAAGACGTGACAACTGTCAGTAGGACCTGGCAAATGTCAAGAATGACTCACCAGCTGCCGACACAAGTGCAGGCTCATGCCGCTGCCTCCGTGCGCACGGGTCTGATGGGTGGGTGGTGGGAGAAGCAACAGAGCGCAGTGGTCAGTTGGTTGAGAAACTAGCACGTGCATGGACGGCGGTAGTATTAAGCTGATGACTGTGTGCCTCTTTAGTGCTTCTGCTTGAATGGTAGTTGTTGGTTTTCCACCAAATCTTTGATTCGATCGCACGGCTGGCCTGCATGGTACATGGCATGATGCGGCATGCATGGGGCAGGGCTCACCTGCATGAGGGGCAGGGCTCACCTGCATGAGGGGCAGGGCTCACCTGCATGAGGGGCAGGGCTCACCTGCATGAGGGGCAGGGCTCACCTGCATGAGGGGCAGGGCTCACCTGCATGAGGGGCAGGGCTCACCTGCATGAACGCCTGAAACACGTGGCGCTGCACCTCCTCTGCGATGCCACACCCTGTGTCCTCACACGTCAGTACCACCACACACCGCCTGTCACCTCCCCCCTCTGCCTCCGTGCCTTGCTCCCTGCCCCGTGCACGCCAACACCGCCCCACAGCTCTCCTCCACGAGCCCACAGCACCATCCCCTGGAGCTGTGCTCCCTGCTGCACTCCCAGCATCCTCACCAGCACTCGCTGCTCCGTGCACAGCAGCACGTGGTCGCAGAGGGATCAACGCTGCGCCTGTCTCTCTACACCCCGCATCGCCCACTTGGGCTCCCCCAGGCCTCTCGCCTCCCCCATCTCCCCCGCTTTCTTGGTACGCATCACTTTGTTCCCGAACGCTTACCCTCTCCTCCCCCTCCTCCCTCTCCTCACGCCCCCCCTTCTCCTCGCTCTCCTCCTGCTCCGGTCCCCCCTCCTGAACCGGGGGCATGCGCCAGTAGCACCCCAGGCACTGCGCAGCCAGGCCTCGCTGGACCATCCACTCACTGCATGCGCCCGTCACCACCCTCGCCAGCCCTCGCTGCCCCACCTGCTCCCACAACGACGCCCTAATTAGCGGCTCTCCCGCTCCCACCCGATGCCCAGCTGCACTCGCAGCAGCAGCAGTAGCAGCAGCAGCGGTTTTTGCAGCAGTGGTAGCAGCGGCAGGCGAGGAGCAGCAGGGGTTGGGTTCAGTGACGAGGCAGCCGAGGGAGAGCAGGTGGGTGGGGATGTGGGTGTGGGGGGGGAGGCACTGCACCCGCACGCACACGCCTCCGCTGGTCGTGAACTTGACGGCGTTGTCTGGGGGGAGGGGAGCATCAACACAAGCAAACAACGAGTCCAATTTGTCAACTCACAGATGAGAAATGCGAGAGGCCGTCTAGACCAAAGGGAAGAAAAGAAGCAGAGTTGAGGAATGTGCTCGTCCGGCTCACCTACGATGCACGAGACTCGAGCGGTCAGCTGCTGGCTCGGCTCGTTAGCCTGCCAACTCATCAGCCCACCAAATCATCAGCCCGCTGGCAAGTCGAGCCTCAAAGCAAGCAGGCTTGGCTTCGACCTATGCTCATGGCTATCATGTGACTGAGGTTACACTGACAAGTTTGTGAACTGAACCAGAATGAGCTGTTAAGGTTTTGTGTTCAGGTGTTTGAACTTCCTGCAGCATCGTTGAGAGTCCGAAACCAGACTCGCCGAAAACTGTGGAGTGCCGTGTGGAGTTGAGTGAGGGCCACATTCGACTCGCCTCAACTCCACTCCAGTGTAGGCCCGCTTGACTCACCTCGCCTCATCCTCATGTGTAAATCCTCAACCCTAAACCCTATGCCCATCCAACCTCCTAAACCACATGTAGTTCAGAGTGATAAAATTGGAGTCATCCACTCACCAACTATTCTGTCCACCACTTGCTGCAGGCGAAGGTAGTCCCCCACCACCACACTGGGCACATCGCCATCCACATGCCATGTGACTGAATAGGTGGGCCCCCACATGCACACGCAGAAGAACCGGGCAGTAATTCAAAGAAGAATGAATCAAAAGCATGAAGAGAAGCGCAAGCAGAAACAGGTGATCAAGACACGGGTGAGTGAGAGAAGGGCCAGTGAGTGAGGGTGATTACAGTTCAAGCCTTGCTCCTGAGCAGCGTGCACGTGTGAGTGCAGCGCGTCACGCAGCCACGAGCGCAGGTCGAATGGCAGGCTCTCCAGGTGCAGGCGGCCCGCCTCAGCCTTGCACACGTCCAGCACCGTGTTGACAAGGCTCAGAATCTTCTCCGCCTGCTCCACCACTGCCCCCACGTCTTCCTTCTGCTCCTCGTCCAGCCCCCTCTCGTCCAGGTGCTTGAGCATGCCTGTAGGGCGGTTGGCGCAGCGAGAGGTGATTCGCAGAGATTAGAACGTGGAGGCTCACATGTTGTAGTATCATGAGCACAGCACAGTCATTGTGATCTTTCAGCTGAAATGGTTTCGACCTTTAGCAGACCCTGCTTACACCCAACCAGATCAGCGTGCCCGGCCAACGTCGAGAAGAAACAAAGATTTCATAACTTGGGAGGCAACTCTTCCCCAGGTCACTCACTCATGCGCCTCGCCTCACGGGCACGAACGAACCTTCCATGCCATTGATGGGCGTGCGCAGCTCATGCGCGGTGTTGGCAACAAACACACTCTTGTTGCGCTCCGCCACCTCCGCCTGCTCCTTGAGCGCCGCCAGCACTGCTGTCTTCTCGCGCAGCCTCCGCGTGTTGATCGTCACGCTCACACCAATGGCGGCCAGCAGCGCGGCCACGACGAGGATTACGAGGCCCAGGAATATGGCCGTCATGCTGTGCGCTGTGTCCGAGTCCTGAAAGCTGGCAGCCCACCCACGCGGCACATTGGGGCCAGCGGGGGACAAGGGAATGTCGGTTGAAATCATTGAGTGCAGTGCAGCACAGGCAACGACTGGCTTTAAGTTGCCTGAAATGTTATTGAAGCAGAATCGTAATGAGGGTCTTTAATCAGAGGAGGATGGCGAGAAATGAGAATGGGATGGGAGCTGCGGGGAAATCCAAGCATGGGGTGTGTGTGTACGATGGGCTGGGTGGGGAGGGCAGCTGTTGAACTTACAACCCTTCATGTATTCATTTTCGTCAGTCATGAGAATGCCGAAAGCGGGCATAGAGGAGTGATCAAGGAGGAAGAGCAATGCATCTGAAGAAGCGACTCGCGGGCGCCAGAGCTGGCAACTCCGTGATGAATTGGTGAGTGGGAGGGTTGTGAGTGGGAGGGATGTGAGTGGGAGGGTTGTTGTGAGTGGGAGGGTTGTGAGTGGGAGGGGTGTGAGTGGGAGGGTTGTTGTGAGTGGGAGGGTTGTGAGTGGGAGGGGTGTGAGTGGGAGGGTTGTTGTGAGTGGGAGGGTTGTGAGTGCGAGGGGTGTGAGTGGGAGGGTTGTTGTGAGTGGGAGGGTTGTGAGTGGGAGGGTTGTGAGTGGGAGGGTTGTTGTGAGTGGGAGGGTTGTGAGTGGGAGGGTTGTGAGTGGGAGGGTTGTGAGTGGGAGGGCAGTGAGTGGGAGGGGTGTGAGTGGGAGTGGGAGGGGTGTGAGTGGTAGGGGAGTGAGTGGGAGGGCTGTGAGTGGGAGGGGTGTGAGTGGGAGGGGTGTGAGTGGGAGGGCTGTGAGTGGGAGGGCTATGAGTGGGAGGATGAACTGTTATGAGTCAAGCGGGGAGCACAACAAAAGTCACAAAACGGACTAGCAGTCGAAAACATGAATTGACACAATGGAGAGGTTTGGAAGGAAGGGCAGTGCACGGTTGAAGGGCAGTGCAGTGCATGGTTGTGAGGCAACTGACCGGCACCAGAGCTGGTACGTTCTTGATGAGTCGGTGAGGTTGATGTGGTGCACGGCCTTGTGGCGGTGTGGCTGCAGCATGGTCTCGTTGGACGGCGGAATGAGCTTGTTGACGTGCATGGGGTTGCCTTGAGGCAGGTCGCCCGCCCCGTACAGCAGGCGCGGGCCCAGCGGGGTGGAGGAGCCGGGGAGCACATCCGTGGCCGTGACGTCATACATCTCCAGAGAGTACTCCATGCCTGCACCAGCAGGGCGAGGGACACATTGCCCTGAGGTGACTTTGTTGAACTCACTTTTGAGAATTCTTAGAAGTGAAGTCGACTCAAAAGTCACTCCTATAGCACTCTCTACCAGGCACCCTGGACTGGACGTCGTACAAGTGCAGAAAAATATTCCCTCCCTCTCTGAATGGACAGGAGCAACAAAAGGAATATGAAGGCTTATGAACCTCATGAGTAACGATTCTCACGCCGCCTCAGTACTTAGTTGAGCTGAAACGAACACTAACAGCCAATCTGCCGAGACAGTACCAATACCTCTCAACAAAGCTGCAAAAGTTGGCTGATCAGTTGGTCAGCTACTCAGAAATAGATGTTTCTCCCTCTCAACGAGCCTGGAGTAGCTTTGCTATCGCCAGTGAACGGCAGCTGCAGCGCACCTTGCAGCAGCACTTCGAGATCGATGAAGTCGGCAAGACGGGTGAAATCCACCATCGCTGCAAACACGCCCATGAGTGCTGCCTGCCTCTCTTGCAACGATGATGCTGCCGTCACGTTGCCCTTGAAGATCGGGAGCATCATGCCTAGAGGACTCGGCTCGGAGAGGCAATGGGCAACACGGAGAGGCATAAAACCAAATGCAATAAAAGGGAATTGGGAAAGGGGGGAGGAGGGAAGACTGAAACAGAGAAAACCCACAAAAAAAGAACGAGAGGGGGGCCAGGAGGAATAAAAGGGAGAAAGAGGGCACAAGGGATAGAGGTGTGTGAGAGTGCTTGAGATGAGCCCAGTTAACAGCCCTGCCCGCTCACCCATGCCTGGATGCCCATTGGTGAGCACGGTGGGCTCCGCGAGCATCTTCTCGGGAGTTTCCTTCACGCGGTTCAGCTGCGCCCCATACGTGGGATGCTGCCGGCTGTCGAGGCAATAGGTGGCGGACTCGGTGCGGTTGAAGGGGTGGAAGGCGTCGAACCACAGGCGCACGTCCATGTACCAGTCGGCGGGCGGGCATGGCTGGTACGACGTGTCCACCAGCACGCACCCCACACGCCGCTCAAAGGTCGCCCTGGGGGAGATGTGAGGAGATGCCAGGAGATGCCAGGGGATGCCAGGAGATGCGACAAGAGGAGGGGCAACGCGCGGGGTGCTTTTGAGAGGGCAAGTCACTTGAAGGCTCATGGGCAGTCAGCATGACTACGGGGAGCTTAAAGGTTGCCATGCAGGGTTGCAGGGGAGGCGACTGTGGGAGGGAGAACACAGGGTCAAGGAGCGTTCATCATCCCTCCTTGTATTGCGCATGCATGTGAGATGGGTGAAGTTGAGCAAACGGACAAAGGGATTGGCACATGCTAAGTTGAGAAGAACGCTCAGGACGGGCACTGTAATGGGAAAACTGATTCTCCCAGGCAGACTCGGCCATTCCCCAGCACGATTAGAACTCACCAGGTCCAGTGGGACATTGACAGGCTGAGTGTGCTCCGCCTCACACCCTCACGTATCAGATCCCCTCATATCAGGATACTGACTCAAATTTTCCCTTAGCTTACCCTCTCCGCTCTTCTTCCCTCAACTGCTGGCATGTTGTTCCTGCCAGTGCCAGTTTGATGGAAACTTTGCATCAGGAGAGACAAGGATTGGGGCTGAACCCTACTTGGGGTGGGTGGGTGGGTGGAGACGAAGGGGCCTGAAAATTTTTAGACATACCTGTCGACACAAAAAGAGGACACACGTGTCGACTCAAGTCAAGAAGAGGACATACCTGTCGACTCAAGTCAAGAAGAGGACATACCTGTCGACTCAAGTCAAGAAGAGGACATACCTGTCGACTCAAGTCAAGAAGAGGACATACCTGTCGACTCAAGTCAAGAAGAGGACATACCTGTCGGGGCCGTTGACAAGGCAAATGTAGGCGACGGAGTGCACCCAGGGGCGGGCGGGCTGCGTGCGCAAGATGTAGTTGGCGAAGCTCCTCTGAGTGAGGCTGCTGTTCACCACCCATGGGTCCTCCTGCACCCCCCCAAACACCACCGCCAGCCCCTCCAGCGCCTGATGCATCATGCACGCACGTGTGCGTGGGTTGGGATGGGCGGAGCGGAGTGGAATGAGGTGGAGCGGAGATGAGTGGGTGGGGACGGGGTGGCATGGGGTGATGGTGGCATGGGGTGATGGTGGCATGGGGTGATGGTGGCATGGGTTGATGGTGGCATGGGGAGATGGTGGCATGGAACGATGGTGGCATGGGGTGATGGTGGCATGGGGAGATGGTGGCATGGGGTGATGGTGGCATGGGGAGATGGTGGCATGGGGTGATGGTGGCATGGGGTGATGGTGGCATGGGGTGATGGAGGCATGGGGTGATGGTGGCATGGGGTGATGGTGGCATGGGGTGATGGTGGCATGGGGTGATGGAGGCATGGGGTGATGGTGGCATGGGGTGATGGTGGCATGGGGTGATGGTGGCATGGGGTGATGGTGGCATGGGGTGATGGTGGCATGGGGGACGCATGCAGCAGCTGCAGCAAGCAAGTGCACAGCGCACAGCCTGAGGGGGTGCATGCTCCCCACAACAGCCCCTGCCACTGCCACAGAGGATCCTTGTGTGCTGTCCCCCCCCCCCCCCCCCACCACCACACTGGCCAGCCCCATGGTGCCTCATGCACGCACGGGGATCCGTGAGGGGGTGTGTGATGGGGGGGCACACGGGGGCCACATGGAGGGCCACACGGGGGCCACATGGAGGGCCACACGGGGGCCACACAGGGGGGGCGCACGCGCATGGCATGGGGGGCACATGGGGCCACATGGCGCATGGGGGGCACATGGGGGGCCGAATGGCATGAGGGGTCACATGGGTGGGCACATGCAAGGGTCATGCAGACAGACTTTTTATCCCCCCTGCCCACCCTCTTCTACTCCCCCTCCTCCCCCCCCAACACCCCCTCCCCCCTTCCCCCCCACTTCCCTGGGTCGTTTTTACCCTGGTGATTTTTTCGCCCTACCCGGCCTAACGTCAAACCAGCAATTCCGCCAGGTTATCAAAATTATCTTCAGGATGACGCTTGCGTCAAACTCGCTTGATGCTTCAATTCGGGAAGGAGGGGAAAGAGAGGTAAGGAAGCAGGTAGCGCTTGGCAAGTTCCGCATGCGGTGCGGTGAGCATTGCCGCCTGCGGCCTGCTCACAAGGCTCGGCACGCCCTTCCATGCGACTCCGCTAGTGCGCATCGATAGCGGGGGGCATGTTGCCACGTGAATGGAGTCCCTGTATGTCCCGCACTGTGTTTGCCAAGTGGCAATGAGTATAGTAAGTGACCTTCGCCAAGTGACGATTCAAGTGAAGTGAGAGTGACGACGCTCATGCAGCGTCGCCACTATAGTCGGCCCAGCGGAGCGGCTCTTACGGGGCGATACAGACTTCGAGGTTGCACCCCAGTGCGGGGGCTGCGTAGTAAGGGTTTAGGACACTGCTCAAAAATAGTATCGGAGAGGTGTACATGTTTGTTAAAACGCTACATGGTGATGTTTGGGCTTTGTTCACCTTGCGTTAGATCGCGCGACACAAACCTAGTAATTCCAAAATCCAGCAAGTAGCGACCACTTCATGCTTGTTTTGAACAACAACAACCACCCCCCCCAACCCCCCCCCCCCCCCCCCCCTCCCCACACTCCCTCCTGGAAAAAAAAAAAACAAACAAACAAAACAAAACAAAAACAAAAACTCCCCAAAAACGAGTGCCGCGCCTCTGCCTCACCGTCGTCACTCTCACTTCATACAGTACGATTAAAACAAACGAGTATGATTGCCGCGCCTCTGCTTCATCACTCTGTTTTTAAAACAAACGAGTATGATTAGAAAAGAGAGGCAGCGCCTCTGCCTTCAAACGGTGCTGAGCGCGTGGGTGAAAGTCCCCGATTTATTGATCAAACGGCTGCCAGCGATCGTTACTACGTGCACGTGGTCAGGCGCAGTAATTGCTAATGTCGCACACGGCACATCACACCTTACGCCTACTAGTACCTGAACGTGGTCCGCGGTGAGCATGAACTGCTGCTGCAGCGAGCGCGCGCGACCGGCGCACCATGTGTCGAGCTCCGCCTTGCGATTGTCGTCGAAGCCCTTCTGCACCCTCCACGCCACGATCCCCGCCAGCACGCCCGCACACCCCATCCACACCGCCACCGCCGCCGCCATTCGCGCAATCATTGTACGATTTAGCACCATCTCCAGCTCGTCAGTTGCTTAACAACTGCTACTACCGTTTCTTTGCTTAGCGCGTGTTCAGGGTGGATGTCGACAGATGTGGAGGAACATCGATGGACGTTGATGAGCTCGGGTGATTTGTTATGGCACCTAAACCTGGAGCTAAGACTCTTAGGGGATGTCCAGACTGTGTTTCTATTCTGAACTAGGATGCAGGGTTGTGAAGTGTGAGGAGAAAAACAAATCGCCAATATAACAAATGTTCAAAGTGTCGGCAGTGGTAATTGTGTCAGAAGGGAAGCGCCACAGTACTGAGTACACCTAGCCCGCTCCAATTTCACACCCCGTCAGTTATGGGTTAAAACCCATTTGAACCATTTTTGGCTTTGGGGATCAGACATCCAAGGAACTAGAGGCTATCCGTGGCATTGTAAAATGTAGATGTTGTGAAAGTGTGACTTTGTGACCGCAACGTAAAGACTGGATCTTCCGCTGCGACCATGTTTTTATTTTCCCGCTGACTCTTAAGCGGAGTCTGAATCGTTAATTCCTTCAAAATCAGAGAAAGGAAGGAATTAACGGTTCGGTCTCGGAAGGAATTAACGATTCAGACTGTTCGAAACAACCCTCAATTTCCGGGAAAATCAGGAACGAATACACCGGGGTGTAAGGACGCCGTACAGATATCGTAGGTATAGTGAGGAGCCATAGCTAGGGTTTACCTAGCTAGGCAAGAGAAAGTTTAGGCAAAGAGGGGGTTTGCACTAGCAAGAATGAGGATATAAATAGCAAACTCTAGAAGGGTTGTACTCGCTATAGAGCACCCCACTACAGGCTAGAGCATAATATTCTGACAACTCGGTCACCACAAACGGTCATTGAAACGTTCAAATATATCGCGGATAGTCACTAAATATCACGGATGGTCACTCGTCGCCCCACGATGCTCGGGTCGACCAGGTCGACCAGACCCAACCCAACCGAGTTGAAGCAGGTTACCTGAACCTACGAGATGTGCAGCTCTCGCGCAGAAATCGCCCTGATTTCGCTAGTTGAGAAGATACCAGGTAAACTCGCGCAAATCTTGCCATAACTCGCCACAGGTCGCCCAGGCCACCATCCCCTCGCGTGGGAACTGCTTCGCATCACCCTCGAAGGTGTTGGGAAAAAACTGAGAAATTTTCAAATTTCCCGAATCTTGTTTCCGAAGGTCTGGTCGGGTTGGGTCTGATCGACCAGGTCGACCCGACCAGACCCAATCCGTGTGGATCGCAACACGTCGTAATTCGTTTAAAACATCCGAAATTTCTCGGCATTATCGGAAAGTTAGCTCGTGGCGAAGTATTCACTATTCGATTGTCCACTGTTTGATAGATGCATAATGTCCCTTGGAATATTACCTTTATACGGGTGAAATTCAAAGTTAATTTCTGTTCCAAAGAAAAAAAAAAACTAAAACCCATTCGGATGGGATTTCCTTCGGGAGGCATCAACCCTAAACACATTGTCGCATTGTGTTCAGGGTTGATGCCTCCCGAAGGGCATGCCATCCTCTAGGGGTTTATTTTTCTTCTTCAGTCCTATATGTCAGGCGAGAATCATGCGCGAGGTAGCAAGCAATCAAAATTGGGATTCCTCAAAATTTCTATAGTTCTTCACTTTGGCTCAGGGAGTCTCAGCTTTCCTCGAGGGTTTCATCGAGTGACCATTCGTGATAGAAATGCGGGGCAACGAGTGACCATCCATGACCTTTATTGACTATCCGTAATAGATTTGCCCGTTTCAATGACCGTTTGTGATGACTAAGTGACCATTTGTGATAGCGCACCCTTTATAGTGACTATTTTTATAATAGTCAAACACATTTACAGTGCACGTCAAGAAATGGAACCAGAATCTTTGAACAATTTTGTCTTACATGTCACGAAATTGTTTTCGGGTGGATACAGTACTGAAATTAGCCACACAACTTTGTAATACACACACCGCCATAATGTACGGTTTAGTGCGGCAAGCAACCACACATCAAACGTGTTCGAATCGAATTTCGTTCATTGTGATTTCGAACAGACTTCGCACATGTGAAAGTTTCCGCCTGTCCTCATTCCGCTCGCACTTTCACAAACAGACGAATTCAGCAGTTGGGAGGTAGAGAACTGGCAGTCATCATTCCCATTGGTAGGATGATACAGTCCCTGCCCATTACAGGAACGCCAGCTACGTTGCACCAAATGGACAAGGTTGAGCACGTGCTTTAGCCGGTATCACCAACTTCGCCACGGGAAAGAGTGGGACCGTCAAATTTGACTCGTAATCATAGTAACAACTTCCAATTGCCTAACGAATCAACGGTTTGAAATGCAATAGCGATGGTGGCTGAGATTAAACAATGTGAATGCACGAGGGGCCGTTGGCAGTGTTCAAATGCACGAGGGATGAGTTGCAAAAAAGGATGGTCAAATGCAACGGGATTAGGTGAGGATCGACTATACACCTTATTTCACGCTAGTCTGACATTGGATGTATGTACAAAACGATTTGTATAGCAGAGCAACGCGTCCAAAACGGTGCAAGAACACTACATACAAGCACAATGTGCCGCACTCAATCCTTCCCTAATGTGTTTTTTCATGTATAAACTACCGTATACTTCGTGTACATTTGTCGTCAGTTGAATACTTGCCTGCCACGTTTCTAAGGTTAGCTTACAATCACCGATGCTCTTTATCCAAGCACTTCAGTCAGGGCTCCTGTTTGTTAGGATATCGCGAAACATGGTGTAGCACAGTTTTGGATGCGGTGGTATTACACAAACTGTTTGGTGCGTACAGCCAACGTAAGTCTAGCGAGAAAGATGGTGTATTTTACATGAGTCTCGAACGAGACTTGGGGTTGGTGACGCACCTCGTCTCAATCGCATCGACAAAATGCATGCTAAAATGAGTTGCAGAGTACAACGTTGAACATGGAAATAAGGGGTGCCAATAGGGTTGTCGCTAAAATGGCAAATCCATGCAATGCCTTGAACATTAAGGGTTGATTTTTGCCAAGGTCCCACATTTGAAGGGCTCATTTGAAAATCAGCCCATCCACCTTAAGTACTGATTTTGTTACTACCTCTAGCTTGTAATATCCTTCTTATGGTAAGCAAAATCTGTCAAACTTATATGACATAGTCTGTGTAGGCTGTAGTGGGGTAGTCAATATGGGGTACAACACTTTTATGTTTTCCTACTTGTACCCACTTGCCTACTAGTTCATTCATTCCTCGTTCTATCTTTCACATGGTATCAGAGCAAGTTCCCTAATGGGAACGATTTTTTTCCTGCCCTGCTCAAAGCACGTTGCCGAGCTTGCCTGCCCTGTCGCGCGCCTCGCGCCTGCCTCACCTGCGCCCTTGCGCCTGCCCTGCTGTGCGCCGTCGAGCGCCTGCCCTACCTACGCCATCGAGCGCCTACCCTTCCTGCGGCCACCGTCGCGCGCCTGCCCTACCCGTCGTCGAGCGCCTACCCTGCCTACCGCCCGTCGAGCGCCTGCCCTGCCGCCGCCCGTCGCGGCCCTGCCCTAAGCGCACGTCGTGCGCCTACCCTGCCGCCGCCCGTCAAAGCGCCGGCCCTACCCGCCCGTCGAGCGCCAGCCCTCCCCGCCCGTCGAGCGCCTGCAGCTACCCGTCAAGCGCCTGCCCTGCCGTCGCCCGTCGAGCGCCTGCCCTACCCGCGACTGTCGCGCGCCTGCCCTACCCGCCGCAAGTGGCACCTGACCTACCCGTCCCTGGTAAGCACCTGCCCTACCCGCGCTACCCGCGCACATGCGCCAGCCGCGCCTACCTGCCTGCCTAGCCGCGCCGCCCAGCCGAGCCGCGCTGCCCGGCCGAGCCGCGCCGCCCAGCCGGGCCGCGCCGCTCTGCCGAGCCGCGCCACACTGCCCTACTGAGTCGGGCTGCCCTGCCCGCGCTGCTCCTACTGCTACTGCTGCTTCTGCTGCTACTACTACTACTTCTGCCACTGCTGCTACTGCTGCAATGGCTAGCCCTACTGTCCTTACCTTCGATGCTGAGGGTCGTGCAGTCGACTTCAATGTTTGGGTAGATGATCTGCAGCTCTTTCTTCAGTGCGATTCTAAGGACGAAGTCTCGCTTTTCAATCTTACGTACGGTGCCTTTGTTGCACCTGATGCCATTGCTGACAGTACGGTTTGCTCGCAGTGGACCACTCGTGACGATGTTGCTCGCCTTGTTGTTCGTAGTCACCTGCCGTCTGCTGAGCGCGCGCACTTTGGCCAATACAAGACTGCTAAGTCTTTGTATGACACTATCGTAGCGCGCTACTCCTCCCCTTCCACTGCTATCCTCAGCCGCCTCATGCTACCATACCTGTTCCCTGACCTGCCAGCCTTTGCCACAGTCGCTGACCTCATGACTCACCTCCGCACTAGTGACGCCCGCTACCGCGCTGCACTTCCCTCCGAGTTTTGCGCCAAGAACCCCCCCCCCTCATGTACATCACCCTCTTCTACCTAGTCACCCGTCTCCCTGACTCCCTTTGCTCAGTCAGGGACCACTTTCTCTCCCTTTGCCCCACGGAGCTCACCGTCGACCTGCTAGAGGAGCGCCTCACTGCAGCTGAGAATAGTATAGTTGCTGTAGGTGCTTCTCGCGGCGACCCTCGCGCCCCTTTCTTTGAGGGGTGTTTCCCCGTTCCCCTTCTACCCTCTATTGCTTCTGCTGCTGCTGTCGACCTCGTTGGCACCGAGGAGGTCGGGGCTGCGTCTGCTCCTAGTGAGAGGCACCACAACAGCAAGGGAAAGGGGGGCAAGGGTGGTGGAGGGTGAGGAAAGTAGAACGAGGATGAATGACTAAGGAATGGAAGTGATACAAATATGCAACCCTAGAAATGTGTACCCCATATAGGCTACCCCACTATAGCCTACACAATATTATAATTTGACACACCCCCATAGGCAAAGTGGGGGAGAACAAGGGGTCACAAGACCAGTCAAGCAAAGCAGACAAAGCTCAGGGT